CACACACACACACACACACACACACACACACACACACACACACACACCCCGTTTGAAGCTAACCTGAACTATTTGAGACCCCTGTCTCAAAGCAAAAAGGCTCCTGAGCTGGTCATGGCGGCGCCACTCTCCTGTAATCCCAGCATTCAGGAGGCTAAAGTAGGAGGGTGGCTCACACAATCCAGCATAAATTACATAATGAGACCATGTCTCAGAAAAAGTTTTGGCTCCCAACAAATCGGGGTCGGGGTGTGAGAGAAAAAGATAGAGCTGCAGAAAATCAAAACTGGTTGTTATCCTTTGGGGTTAGGCAGTGATATTTACCACATGTAAACCTCAAAGATTTTCTACAGCTGGGCTCGCCTACCAACACAATGAGAACTGAGACAGGAGTCCACCTAAGTCTGCCTGCCCTGCCTCTCACAATCTCCACTGTGATTTATGTTCCCGAACAAATTAGACTTAATTTCAGAGCAAATCATCAGCAACAGGTATAATAATCTTGGCAGAACATTTATTTTAATTAATTGCTTTCTGCCTAATGTAGGTAGAAGGATACTGGTGCCATTTACCCTATAAGGATTAGTGTTGTCATGTAGCTCATTTTTCTTCCCCTAGAACTTAGTCTCATCAGTTTTAAATTCCAAAGACATTGGTTTACTTCATATTTAACCATAACAGTCTAACTTCTATGGCAAAGTTTATGACAGACACTTGTGAAAGAAAAATAGATCCTGAGAACCTTGCTGTATGAGAGATTCCTGCTTCTGTCCACAAGTCCTGTCAGGTAACCCGAGAGGGTCAGATGGGAACTGAATGACTCTCACCCCCACAGACCCGTCGAGGGGTACGTGTGTAGAACACGTGCATGCTTCCACAGACCCATCGAGGGGTACGCGTGTAGAACACGTGCATGCTTCTACAGACCCGTCGAGGGGTACGCGTGTAGAACACGTGCATGCTTCCACAGACCCGTCGAGGGGTACGCGTGTAGAACACGTGTGAGCTTTTAGAATAGTGTTGACTCTTTCTCCATGAAGCTATCAATTTCACTCTCACTTAACTTCGATGAAAGGCAAAAAGAAAAATAATCCCTCCACTGAATGGAAATTTAACATATAACTGTCCAAACCACCTGGCAGTAAGTGCTAGAAAACAAAATAAATACTGTCCCTTTTAAGAGTTGCCATGCTCAGTGTTGTCTAGAAAGGAGCTGCTGACTGTTTCTAAAGATGCAGAATCGGCTACAACTGAACTAAGGAGGACTTCTGGCAGAGGGTGCTTGCTACACAATACAAACATGAAATTAAAATTTCAAATACATGTGTTTTAGGAAACAAAATTGTAACCATAATTCCTCACCTTAGAAAGCCCTTTCTTTTCTAACCAATTGCTTGTTCATCTTTTAAAATGCTACTGGAAAATTTAATCCTTTCCTACACAGTCAAGTGTGAATTTATCATGTATGCTACACAAGTTCAATAATAAGAATGGAATTAAAATACCTTCTTTATATTGGTACAGAGTCTCGGGAGGCAATGAGAATAGCAAATGGAGAAAACAGTATGGACCCTTCGTATAATAAACAGCCAGTTCTGATGAAATAACAGCCTGTTTAATTAGGTTTTTACAATATAAATTTAGAATTGCGAATACACAGATTTTGAATCATTAAGTTTATTTGTCACTCTATATATTGGTCCGTTTCCACATGAACAGTGGTAATCATCCACTTCCACCTAATATTCTATACAACAAAGCTGTATCACACACAAATCAGAGTAACTTCACAGGGGGAAAAGTTAAGGAAATAAAAATATTTTATATTCATGCTTCAAGATATCCCCCACAGATGTTTTTGTATATCTAATTACAAGCATCTATACTCCATAAAGCTATTCTCTTCTGAAATCAACACAATATTTTTAATATTTTTAATATCTCTACTAAACCACACAGATCACCAAACTTGCAGAAGAGATTAAAAACAGCTACTCTGCCAATCACACACACACACACTTTCAAAACTAAGCGATTGTATAAGCATATCCAGTATTTTTGGGCTACTCTTAGTTAAAACCTTCCCTCCTGTCTCAGAGATATTTACATCAGATTAAGACATTTACAAATAGTTCATAGTGAATAACAGCTGAACTAGGATTTATCTGTCCTGTGCAAGGAACTCAAGCATTTGAAAGCTTCTAAGAAACCCAGTGCATTCTCCAACACGAATAACACAACTACTCTAAGTGGTTTACATTTCCTTCAGTGCATATTTCCAAATGTATTAAATGGAATGAAATTACGTTATTACATGGCTATAATAACAATATTTGAACATCTTATGGAATCTACATCACAATTCATTTGTGTTAACACTATAAACCACTCTAAGGAAACAACAGGCACACACAAAATAGAGAACAAAATCTATGTTTTCTTTAAAATAAATTTAAGGTATACCATCTACTTTAATCCATACTAAAAGATATGCTTTAACAGAACAGCCGGGAGTGGGAGGGTGTTGGGAGGAGGGGCAAAAATGGAAACTTTTATATTTTAATAAAAAAAAAAGAAAAGAAAAGCCAAGCACAAACAAACCTGCATCTGAAAGAAAAGTCTCGATATTTGGTAAAAGGTAACAAAGCTTTTAATTTTATTTAATGAATAGGTTCTTATAACCGTGTATTGATTCCTAGAGACAATAAAAGTTATCTTGTAAAGGTGCTTTCAAGACAAAACTTAGGGCCCAATTTTCCTGTTTTAGTAGTTAAGATTCCAGGTGATATGATGTCTGTATAATTCTGCTTTGTATGATGCTAGAGAAGAACAGATTCAGACCACAGTTCCACCATTCTAAGGCGATGCTCAAGTCTGTGCTGTGTTCTGTACCTAGTTCTCAGAAACTGTAGAATCAGACGGTGAATGTTGAGCCATCTCTAGTTCAACATTTGAGTCTTTTACTCTCTGAGGGTTAAGAATGACTTGAAAGAGCTTTGGTTTTACTGTCTAAGACTATCAGTATTAATTATATTAGAAGTTAAACTAAGAAAATGTCAATTTAAACTCAATTTAAAATAAAAATCTCATTATGTGGTTTGAAAAATAATAAAAAAAAAAAAAAACAGAACAGCCAATTCCCAAAACCTGTTGTCTAAGTGCAGCATAAGGAAAACTCAATCCATCCGAATCTTCTGGTTAGTCATCCTGTAAATGATGCTATCATATCCAGGATCCATATTCCAAATGTTGTAAGAGGTGATGATCACAGCCAAGGCCAAGCCGATCATAATCCACAGTACCAAGTTGAAAACCACTGAATACTCCAAATTATACTTATATGCAAGGTTATAGGGACTTGGGGAGGTCTACAATGAAGAAAGGAAAAAATAAAGAAGAAAGAACTTTAGGATTATAAAAATTATTCTGATTTAATGATTTAATGTCTATGATTTGCTCTCTAACAGACACTTAGGAATTTCTAAGTGGAGTAAAAGCTACCTATCTATCCTTGGAGGAGGCAGGAACGGGTTGCTTCCAAGACACTGGCGCTGCTGCTAAAAGAAGAAATCCAACCTCAGGAGAAGATTCAGCGGTAGCCAAGGCAACTGAAGGTGCGCAGATTCTGTGATCCAGTAAGCCTAGCCCCTGACAAAAACGTCTCTGTTTGTACCAAGAGACGTGTACAAGAATATCTTCAGCAGAACAGACAACTGTGGCATGTTCAGACAGTAGGGCACAGAGCAGTAAAATGACTCCGCTCCAGTGATCCCTTAAAATGACACCAAGCAAAGAACATCAAAACATGCACGCAGTATGGTTCCATTTGTACAGAATTCAAACCTGCATAAAATACTGAAGCACTATTTAAGACTAAATAGGCTGGGCATGGTAGACTGTACCTTCAATCCCAGTACTTAGGAGACAGAAGCAGGAGGATCTCTATGAGTTCAAGGTCTGGTCTATAATAGTGAGTTCCACGATAGCCAGGACTACATAAGAGACACCCTGCCACAGATAAATGAACAAATAAACATACACACACACACACACACACACACACACACACACATATATATATATATATATATATTCAAACTGTAAAGAAAGGGTGTCACATAAATACTAAGGATAAGGGGATGGCTCAGTGGTAGAGGCTTGCCTACAATGCCTGAAGGTCTGGGTCCATCCCTGGCACCATTTAAAAATAGGAGAGGGGGCAAGCTTAGGAAAAATACAGGAAAGAAAGAGGGATAAAATAAGGGGACCTGCCAAGAAAAAGCATTCTCTTCAAATGACACCTATAAGCAATGAAGACACTACTGACAAATTTCAGGTGGGAAGTAAGTGACAAGATCAGAATTGCTTTATAAAGAAAACTTAGCCTGGTGTGGCGGTAGTGGGGCATGACTTTAATCCCACCAATTAGGAGGCAGAGGCAAGTGAATCTCTGTGAGTTCCAGAAAAGCCTGGTCTACATTAGGGAGCTCCAGGAGAGCCCAGGCTCCCCAGAGAAACCCAGACTCAAAGCAAAAACAAAGATAGCCCATGACAGTGAGAGGAGGGTGTGGGCAGGGCCAGCTGGAAGCAGAGACAAGGTGGGAAACATGAGGGCGGTGCCTGGCAGTGTTCCAGGAGCTCCGCACCTGGCATGCTGTGCACACTCAGCAGGCAGCTCTTTAAGTCGCTGTTGCTGCTTTTCTTATTTTTCTGTGCTTAGGAACAAGTCTAGAGCCTGTGTAGACTTGGCAAGTGTTCCACACAACCGAAGTCTTTTTTGTTGTTGCTGGTTATTGAGGTGGTTGACTTGCTACCCAGCCCTAGCTGGCCTGGCCCCCTGCCTCCACCTCCAGAATTCTGGAATTAGAGTTGGTGCCCTCATGCCTAGCTTAGTTACTTAAAGTTTTGCCACTGCTTAAAGTAACAGAAGACTGATTTCAAGTGGAAGAGAGGAGACAATGGGCTCAAAGATATGTTGTATATTTTCCTGTGGGCAGCTCAAAGTTGACACGAGGATTTCACACCGTCAAGCACCTCTTTCTTGGATTTATGTACATTTACTAAATTGGTTTCATTTCACATCCATTTTGAGTGTATATGTATGCACAAAATTATTCAATCCTCACTACGACCTAATCTGAAACCATCACATACTCAGAGGAAACCTCACACAGGGGCTCTTGTCCTCTGTGAAGTAGGAGACACCAGTAGACAGTTAAGGGTACTGGAAACACAGGAGAGCAATGGGCACTGATGGCAGGTGCCCAATCAGACAGAAATGATATTCTAAGGACTGTTTCATACCCCAAAACATGCAATCTTGTTAATCAGTTCAAAGTGTTATTTTGTAGGTTATATCCATGTTATTTGATGTTTGTTGCTTTAGCTATACTGAACTCCATGTTTTATATTTTTGAGTTTGTGTTTGGGCAACTAGCTCTGGGGGTTCCCTCTGCATTGTGTACTGAGGGCATGGCCTAGTAGAGCAGAGGTTTTACATTTACTTCAGCTGGGAGCAGGTTTTCTGTTGACTTCTTGCTCAGAGACTTCCTAGGCAATATAAATTTAAGTCCGAAATCCAAACAAAGAGCCCTGGGGTTAACAATGCCCTGGGAACAGCCCTACTCCCGATACATACATGGACCATGGAGTGTCTCTCTGTTTCCTTTTGCTGGTGGGCAAACTATCACCGTTCCCTCTCACTGAAGGTGCAGCTCTTTTTTGCTCCCTAACTTTGTAGGGAAGTGTTAGTTCCAGTCTCACAGAAAGCCAAAGCCTCTTGGTAGCCCAGCTGGCAGCCTGATCACTACAGGCTCCTCCTTACTTTGGGGGAGCCCCTTATTTGAGAGTTGAGCTACGCATTTGAAACTGTTTATCTAGCACTTCTAGAGGTTTTATACTGGAAACTGGAGGAGAAGGAAGGAAGGAGTCCTGGCCAACAAAGCTGTTTGGACATTTTTTTAAAAAACAAAAACAAAAACAAAAACCAGTCTTGCTATGTAGCCTAACCTGACATTGAACTCAGCAATTCTCCTGCATCAGCTTTCTGCCATCATACCTGACTCTGAAATATAATCTAACCAGATACCCTTCCATCTCAGTTCAATCTGGAAGGCAATGATCTGCAGCCAGGCACGTCTAGACTGACTGGAATCGGTACTGGCTATATATAGTCCTTTTACTCCAGCTCCCACACTGATCCTTAAGACTGAGCATGGAGGACCGGGATTACAGTCTAGTAACATTCTAAACTGTGTGTTGCTATGAAGCATTTGGACCGCCCTCCCATCTCTGTCAAGTGTGCTGAGGCTTTGTGTGTGTATGTGTGAGACCATGTACCCAGACACACATTTTACCATGGCCATCAACCTTCTCTCTGGCCCTCTATGTCAGTGGTTCTCAACCTTCCTAATGCTGTGACCCTTTAATACAGTTCCTCAAGTGTTGACCGAGGTTTATGTCCCACAAGGTCCCACATCTGTTTACTCCCAAATAAAACCACAGAGGGCTACATTAATTATAAATTGATTGGCCTATTAGCTCAGGTTTCTTATTAACTCTTTTTTTCATTTTTATGATTTATTTATCTTTTATTTTATGTGCATTGCTGTGAAAGTGTCAGATCCCCTGGAACTGGATTTTCAGACAGTTGTGAGCTGCCATGTGAGTGCTGGGAATTGAACCCAGGTCCTCTGGAAGAGCAGTCAGTGTTCTTAACCGCTGAGCCATTTCTCCAGCCCCTTAACTCTTTTTTTTTTAAGTGGCTGGAGAGACAGCCATGGATGCTGGGAACCGAACTCTTATATTTTTGATTGTGAGCCTAGCTTTTAACAGCTGAGCCATCTCTCCAGCCCTTTATTAACTCTTATAACTTATATTAGCCCATAATTCTTGTCTGTGTTAGCCACAAGGCTTGGTACCTTTTTGTCAAGGAAGTCACATCTTGTTTCCTCTGTGTCTGGTGGGACAATGGTTTTACCCTGTAAAGATTTGTTTCTTGTACTTGTTTAATAAAATGCTGATAGGCCCGTGACCAGGCAGGAAGTAGAGGTGCGGCAAGGAGAACAGGAGAATCTGCAGTTGACACAGAGGAAGTCAGACACAGAGCAAGCAAGATGAGAATGCCTTGTTGATAAAGGTACCAAGCCACATGGCTACACAGACAAGAATTATGGGCTAAGATGTAGAAATTAGTTAATAAGAAGCCTGAGCTAATAGGCCAACCAGTTTATGATTAATGTAGCCCTCTTTGGGACTGAAAGGCTGCAGAACCAGGTAGGACAGAAATTTCAGTCAACACTCAAGTGTGGTGACCCCAACCATAAAATTATTTGCTACTTCATAACTGCCATGTTACTACTGTTATGTATTATAATGTAAATATCTATGTCTTCTTATGGTCTCGGGGAACCCCCGTGAAAGGGTCATTCCACCTCCTAGGGGTTGTGCCCCAGGCTGAGAACTACCCACTGTTCTATGTACTTTCAGTCAAAGCAAGATCCATTCTGAGCTAAATCAAAATTATAAAGAGGTGTATGCAGAGGGTTCCAGAAAATGAGGGACTGGGGCACAAAAGGAATGTCTGTAGAAAAACAGAATCCATGGGCTGAGAGAAACACATTATTCTCTTGCATTAGCTTCTGACGGCTTCTTAACATTAATAATCTTACCAGTGTTGACAGGCTTACTTTCACTGCCAGCTCAAGAATTTAGATCACCTGATGGCAAGCCCAGGGAACCTAGTATCCCTGGCAAAAGCACAAACCTAGGTGAACAGAAAACCTAAGTTTTCAATGAAATTCTTTCTGGTTTATTAACTTGTCATTCATGTCACCTATAAGTAATATAGAATTTCGCCCTTTGTTTTTCTGGGTTACTTTTTTATTTTGTTTTTTTCCTGTAGGGAGGTTATTATTGAGAAAGGATATAGCCCAGGCTGACCTCAAACTCATTACTAGTCAAGATGACCTTGAACTCCTGAGCCTCTTGTCTTTACCTCCCAAGTGTTTCAGGATTTCTAATGTTTTAATTACATTTTATTTATTTTGTGTGTGCAATGTTTGTAAGTGTGTGGGTATGGAGGTAAGAGGACAATTTCCAAGAGTCCCTTTGTCTCCTTCTATCATGCGGGTCCCAAGAATAGAAGAACCCAGTGAGCGACCTTGCCAGTAGCCCAGGGTGTGTGTTTCTCTCTCTCTCTCTCTCTCTTTCTCTCTCTCGATTTTTTTCGAGACAGGTTTTCTCTGTAGCTTTAGAGCCTGTCCTGGAACTAGCTCTTGTAGACCAGGCTGGTCTCTAACTCACAGAGATCCACCTGCCTCTGCCTCCTGAGTGCTGGGATTAAAGGCATGCGCCACCACTGCCTGGCTCCAGGTTTTATTCTTTTTGTTTTGTTTTTCTTTGTGTAGCTCTGATTGTCTTGGAATTCATTCTATAGACCACGTTGGCCTCAAACTCACAGAGATCCTCCTGTCTCTGCCTCCTGAGTGCTAGGATTAAAGGCATGTGCCACCATTGCCTGGCACAGGGTTTTACTCTTTAAAGTAAATTAATCTCACAGTTTTAGAACAGGATCTAAAAACATACCTCTTGTTTTGCCTCAAGGATGGTCCTTGACTTCCTCACAAGGGATGTGTCAAATGATTTGACAGTCACTAACTCTACCACTGCGTTCCCACCATAGAGACTGTACATGTCATCTGCAAACTGAAAGTCAGTGATTAACATCATGATCAATGGCAAAATATATACATTTTGTTTACATTTGTATTTTTGGTTAAGAAAAATTTCATAAAACTGTTCCTTGGTATCCAGAGGGGACTGGTTCTAGAACTTCTACAAATTATAAGCTCTTATGTGAAAGTGCACAGTATTTGCATAGAACCTCTGTGTGGCATTCTGTATACCCTAAATTACCACTAGAAGATATATACCACTTAACATTATTGAAATGCTATGTGGATAGTTGTTATACTATATTGATTAGGGACTGATAGCAAGAATTATGGATATAAATCTCAAAATATATAGACATTGTGGAATGGATAGACTAGCTAGTTAACATATAGAGTACCTCACATACTGATCATTTTTGTGACTGGTCAAATATGTATTTGTTAAAATTATTTGTAGCTTTATAAGTAATTACATAGCATATAATATCAATACATATCAATACAAATATGTATAAGCTTTAACGCACAGTATCTAAAATAGGAAACCCTTACTGGTTTGCTTATGTTAAAACATTCAGTAAAGAGTTAAATCTTGGGCTGGAGAGATGGCTCAGCGGTTAAGAGCATTGCCTGCTCTTCCAAAGGTCCTGAGTTCAATTCCCAGCAACCACATGGTGGCACACTACCATCTGTAATGAGGTCTGGTGCCCTCTTCTGGTCTTCAGGCATACACACAGACAGAATATTATATACATAATAAATAAATAAATATTTTAAAAAAGAGTTAAATCTTAATATACATGCAAATAGCAGGGTGGTGGTGGCACACACCTTTAGTCCCAGCACTTGGGAGGCCGATGCAGGTGAATCTCTGTGAGTTCAAGGCCAGCCTGGTCTACACAGTGAGTACCAGGGCAGCTACACGAGAAACCCTGTCTCAAAAAACCAAAAATAAATAAATAAATAAATAAAATTGGAGATTGAACTTGATGGCATATAAATTTGGGAATGAAAGCAGAAAGGGAAAGTCAAGAAATCTGTCCAAGTGGTCTTTTGTTAATCATGGACCTTACAGAAATTTATGAATGAAGCCACAATAAAGAGATATAATTTCCATTTATTAATAAACTCCCATTTATTACAGATCAGTGGTGTAAAGGCTACTGTGCTAGTATGCAACTTCATTAGCTCATAGTGCTGAGTGAGGATTTCAGATGGGTGGTGATGAAACCATTCTAGAGATGGACACTGGGGATGGTTTTGCACAGCACATGAATATACTTAACACCACTGAGGAAGATTTAAGAGTGCTTAAAATGGTATGCTTTAGTTATAGATATTGTTAGGGTCCACAAACACACAATGCTGCCATTGCTAGTATTGGAAAGAGATTCCCATTGGAAAGACAAGACACACACTTTTGTTTTTTATTTTGTTTTGTTTTTACTGAGGATTGTTTGATTTTGATCTTTTGAGACAGGGTCTTAACATGTATCCCAGGGAGGGCTCAAACTTGTGATTCCCCTGCCATCACCTCCAAGTGCTGGGATTATGGACATGTACCATCTTCTCCCAATACACACTTCTGACCCTACACCCTTCTTTTGTTATGATGGTGGTTGGGAATTGAACTTAAGGCCTTGTATATGCTAGGTGAGCACTCTAACCCTGACCTATGTTCCCAATCCTACCCCTACACTATTCTTAGACATAAACAGAGAATCTTCAAAGCAAGTCAAGAAAAACTTCAACTGGACTGGGGGTGTGGCTCAGTGCTAGACTGCTTGCTAATCAGAGTTCCACCCCTGCACAGAGGAAAAAGAAAAGACTTCAATCGACAGCATTCCACAAAAGATGTTTCCATAAAGAGTCTAACCTCTCTTATATTGTTTTTCTGTAGAAAAAAACCAGAATCTATGGGATGATAGAAGCACATTATTCTCTTGCATTAGTTTCTGATGGCTTCTTAACATTAATAATCTTACCAGCATTGGTATTTACCTTTTGGAGAGCATCCACAAGGATCCTAGAAGCATCCCTGAACTGTTCAGAGTCTTCCCCATAGCGCTTCCCAAGTTCATCCAATCCCGCCAGCTCCAATGAATACAAGTCGGGAGAATGATCCTTGGCTAGATGCTTATGACGAGACAACTTAGAACAGATAACAGAAGTGAGATGCAAAATAAACCAAATGAAGTTTTACATCAGAATTAAATGAGACTGCCATAGGACCACACCAGTGCACTGCAGCACAAAAACAGTTTAAAATGGCAGCGAAGGGAACTTCTTTAAATGGGTTTCTGATAAATCCGATACAAATCTCATTGCTTAATTTTAAAAACTTAAGATATGATCCCAACACTCGGGAGGTAGAGGCAGGAAGATCTCTGAGTTAAGGCCACCCTGTTCTACAGAGTGAGTTCCAGGGCAGCCAGGGCTATACAGAGAAATCCTGTCTTGAAAAACCAAAAACCAAAAGCAAACAAATAAACAAAGCAAGCTTGGATATGAGACCAGGTATGAAGCAATAACTGCTTGGGCTGATATAATGCTAGGAATTCATGAACCAGGTCTTCCTCCTGCATATTCTCCCAGACCTCACTGGTCTCTAGCACTAAGCTTTCAAACTTCTTGAACCAAGCCCTGATAAAAAAGGTTTGAAAAACAACTTCAGAAGCTAGCAGATAGCTAAGCAGATCTATGTCAGTCTTGAGAATGATTTTGAAAAGCATTCACCAAAAGATAACTTGCAGATCAATTGTTTTCCTTTTGACTCAGTTAACGCTATTAATTGTCCAAACTGTTGTTCTTATTTTTGATCCACAGCTATAGACACAGGAATTAAGTCTCAGTGTCTGACAAGAAATGGATGACCAAGCTACAGCAACACTGGGATAGTTTTATTCCCCGGGCTATGTTCTTTGAGGAGTTATGGCCTCTCCTGAGGGCGGACATGTAAAAGAAATGGCCACTAACATGAGATGGAATTCAGCATTCCCACCGTCACCATTTTCTCAGTTTTCATGGAATCATAAATCTGGGGCATGCTTAAACTTTTGAACTGGCCTCATTTTCATTTCAGAATTTTCTAGGAAACAAAACAGACAGACCTTGAAAGCTCGAGCAGCCTACTTACCAAGCTCGAAATATCATGTAGCACTTGCAGCTCCGAAAGGAAGAGCAGGTCAGCCTTCAGAGACCAAAAAGTGGGCATTACTTGAAATGCACACTAGAGGGATGTACTGCCATTTAGCAAGTAAAGTTATAACATACTAGGAATACTGATCAAGTAAATTTATATTATTTTCCTTCCCTTGGTAGATTTACCATAATTGAAACTTGAGGCAGTTTGGTGGTAGAGAATTATCCAGCACCAGGAAAAAACGTATATAAAACATTTCCTAACAAACAGGTGATGGCCACTCCCTAGTACAGTGACCACTACTAACCAGATCTAAGTTTTACTTCCGACAGAACCACATCCGAGCATCCACACTACTGTGGTTTGTCCTCAGGGGATGGAGGGATCCTATACTACCATAGGATCCTATAAGCTTACTTACTTGCCTTGAACAAGTTCCGAAGCAAAGACTTAAGAACAGTGGTTCCTAGCTCCCTACAATAGCTATAATGGACAAGAGCCAAAAGTAGGGATGGCTGTCAGGTGTGGTGGTACATGCCCTTTAAACCCCAGGACCCAAGAAAGACAGGCAGGCAGATCTTTGTGAGTTTAAGGTGAGCCTCATTTACATTAGTAAGTTCCAGTCCAGCCAGGCCTACATAGTAACTATATCTCAAAAAACAAAAACAAAACAAACTAACAAAAACAATATAGGAGTGTCTCTCTCTCTACTGCAACATCCTGAAAAATGTGATTACTTATTAGCAATGGCTATGAATAATGGAATTAGGTCACCAGGTCTGCACAGCTCAACCAGCTACCAAGAAGACTGGTTGGTGGCTTGTCTGGATCAACCGGCAACACTGGTATGAGAATGTAAAAGTATTTACTAAAGTGAAACTCAGGCCAGCACTGGTGGTGCACACCTTTAATCTCAGCACACGGGAAGCAGAGGCAGATGGGTCTCTGTGAGTTCGAAGCCAGCCTGGTCTACAAAGTGAGTTTCAGGACAGCCAGAGTCACACAGAGAAACCCTGTCTCAAAAAACCAAAAAAAAAAAAACCAAAAAAAGAAAGAAAAGAAAAAAAATGCAACTCAGAAAAACCAACAGAAGGAAGAATGTTCTCCAGTAGGAAATGTGCCCAGTTCTCTACCACTTTCAGTCATGCTAAAGTTTCAAGTAGCATATGGAATGGGAATTTAATAATGCCATTCATTTGTTCACTCAACAATTGAACCACTTACTTCATTATTCCTACTCAGAGAATTGAGGGGAAGAGAGTTGAGAACGGAGTTTTCTTGAAACAGACGATTACGTAGTTGCCGTAATGTGACTGAAAGGTCTTCAAAAACGGAGTTTGCTTTCCCCACCATATATACTCTCTACAAGAAGAATCCAGAACTCTGGGTTAACCGCCTGGTGTAGGAGGTCCTTCTGTCTTTGTGTTGCTTTCATTGGTTAATAAAGAAACTGCTTTGGGCCTGTTGATAGGGCAGAACTTAGGTAGGCGGAGAAGACAGAACTGAATCCTGGGAGGAAGAAAGCAGAGTCAGAGAGACTCCATGGATCCGCCAGTGACAGACACTGGGAATTTTACCTGGTAAGCCACTGCCATGAGGCAATACACAGATTAATAGAAATGGGTTAAATTAAGATGTAAGAGTTAGCCAATAAGAAACTAGAGCTAATAGGCCAAGCAGTGATTTAGTTAATACAGTTTCTGTGTGGTTATTTTGGGGCTAAGCTAGCCAGGAGGCCAGGATGAACAAGCGGTTCCTTCCCCTGCAACAACCGCCTGCTATGGATTCATTCCAGCATACAGACTTTGTATAGACTTTTTCATATAGTTTAAAAACTATATTTTTTTACTTTGACTTTAAAACTGTCATTAAATAACATTTATAAGGATCTTAAATAAAAACTTTGTTACTTACTTCCTCACTGGGTGCCAACTGCAAAACTACAGGAGTTTCTTCAGAAAATAAGGAGTGAATGGAATTCGCAACACTGTCAAGACTGAAAGGAACTGCCTGAAATGTAAGAGTACAACTGCAGTTATTTTCTGAAACAAAGTAGAAAGATCATCAGGATAATATAAGCAAGGGGCCCCTGGAGCGCTCCCAGGGGCAACAAGCATTTTCCATTACTATTGGTGTATATTAACTGTGCATATTAATGGTTTCACCATGACGGCCATGCTTCCATATATATTTGAACATGAGACCATCTTCTACCATTCTACCACCATTCACTCTCCCCTCTCCTCCTTCCCCAGGGTCTTCCCTAGTCATTCTACTAGTATTTGGTTCTCTTTTCTTTTTGAATTCTGCTTGATACATGAGAGAAAACAATATTTCACTTTCGGAGTCTGGCTCATTTCGTTTAATGTAATCACTTTTTGTTCTACTCATTTTTCCCTGCAACTGACATACATGACTTTTCATTCTTCTTCATGGCTCCACTGAATCACCAGAATTTTTTTGCGATTTTTTTCACACAATATGTTTTGATCATGTTTTTTTACCCTCCCCAGATCATATCCGCCTTGCTACCCACCCAACTTTATGATCTTTCTCTCTCTTTCACCTTTATCTATTAAGTCACTTCTCCAGTCCTATAAAAAGACTTTAAAAATTTATTACTTGTGTGTGTGCTTGCATGTGTACACATGCCGTGACATATATGTAGATCCCAGGGAATTTTGTGGAGTCAGGTCTATCTGCTTTTACATAGGTTCTAAGGATTGAACTCAGGTTGCCAGGCTTGCAAGGCAAAGCACCTTTGTTCACTGAACCTTCTTGCTGGCCCTAAGAGCTGCTTTTTAATTTTAATTTAAAATATTTATTTTATTTTATTATTGAATGTGTATGGGTATTTTTTGCCTGTGCGTTATGTCTGTGTACCATTTGTGTGCCCGATGCTAGAGGAGGCCAAAAAAGACCACCAAAAGAGGTCTAAACTTACAGATGATTGTGAGCTGGCTGCCATGTGGGTGCTGGGAATTGAACCCAGGTCCTTTGCAAAAGCAGCCAGTGTTCTTAATTGCTGTGACATTTCCCTAAGTATATATTACAGTGCAACATACATATAATACAGTATATAAAACCTGGGGTAAGGAGATTAACATTTACAAATGAGTGCACTCTCCTAACCCAACTAGATTAAGACACAGAACATCAGTAGTGCCCCAAAGCACCTACCTCTACCCTTAGGGGTCACAAAAATGGGGACATCTATGCTATGCTGCATTTGTTTTGTTTTACACTGTTTTTTAAAAACACATTCAAAAATCTTTCTCTCACTGGGCGGTGGTGGCACACACCTTTAATCCCAGCACTGGGAAGGCAGAGGTAGGCGGATCTCTGTGAGGTTGAGGCCAGCCTGGTTTATAAGAGCTAGTTCCAGGACAGGCTCCAAAGCTATAGAGAAACCCTGTCTCGAAAAACCAAAACAAAAAAAAAATTTCTTTCAAAAATTATTTTACTTCTGGTATTACAGTATTACAATAACAAGAGGTTAAAAAGAAAGCATTGGCTCTTCCAGAGGACTCAGGTTTGATTCCCAAGACCCACATAGTGGCTGATGGGCTAATGCCCCCCTTCAGCCTCCACAGGCACCAGACATGCACATGATGCACAGACATACATGCAGACAATACACTCAAACACACAAAGAGTAGTATCTTTTTTAAAATAAGCAGTAGCTCAGACTGGCATCAAACTTATTACGTTGTTCATTACATGGCCTCAAAATTGTGAACCTCCTGCCTCCACTTCCCAAGTGTCTGAATTACACTGTACTCAGTGTTTTTTGTTTGTTTGTTTGTTTTAATGGAGATATCTTGGTGACTTTTCTTCCAGCAGTTTTGTTTACTACTTAAAGGTTACTATCTATAAGCAGCAAATGGATGTCAATGCAGTACAGACAGCAATGAAGGTAAGTAAGAAACCTTGTGGATAAATACCAGTATTCAAACGAAGTATCAATTTCAAGATTCTATGACACGAACAGACACGTTGCTTTTATCTTACTCAAGATGCATACTAACTTCACAAACGTCTAGAACGAGGTCATAAGAAACTGGAGAGGAGGAAGAGCAATCAAGTTTGCAAAAGCATGTTGTTACCAGCCTCTGCAAGCGCCTGCCTTTTGTTGAACACACTGATCACCTCCTCAGGCTTGGGTGGGAACGTGTATGGCACAAGCCTGCCTACCTCATTTCACCTAGTGCAGTGCTTCTCAACCTTCCTCATGCTGTGACCCTTTAGTACAGGTCCTCATCCTGTCCCCAACCATAACATTATTTTGTTGCTACTTCATAACTGTAATTTTGCTACGGTTATGAATCATTATGTAAACATCTGTGTTTTCTAGTGGTCTTAGGTGACCCCTGTGAAAAGGTCATTCAAGCTCCAAAAGGGGTTGAGACCCACAGGTTGAGAACCACTGACTTAATAGCACTTGGCTAAGGAAAGTAGAAGACTGAAGGATATGCTCCTAGCAATCAATCAATTTGAGAAGGAAAACTGATTATATAGACTGCTAAGCTCAAGAGTAGAAAACCTGGGTGATTGGAATTGGTGACTGCTTTCCCACACTGTTTTAGACAGCTGTGCATGTTTGTCTGAGACTTTCTCCATCAGTATCACTTGAAACTACAACAGTTAGCTGGCGAAATGTGAAGGCAGTTCTGCCTTTAGATTGTGTGGCCTTGGTTCTCTGAGCCTTCTATCTCTTTCCCCATTTTCTTCCAAGAAACTTACAAGTAGCCCATCAAGTTCAATCAATAAAGTGAGCTCTTGTCATACATAGCTCCTTCTCATGCAAAGTGAGGCTAGTCTGTTTCAAAATGTTTAGTGCGCATGGATGGGGCTCAGTTGATAGAGTGCTCCTTATACACAATTATACACAAAGCCCTGGGTTCAATTCCTACCTCCACATGCACTGGTGATGTCTTGGCAACAGAGTTCAAGGCCAACCTGGGCTACATGAGACCTTGTCTCAAAAAACAAATTTGGGGTTCTATCTATGCTATTAAACTTTAAATGATGTTCTAGATTTTATACATTTATGCATAAATGAAATACATGGTGATCTTCACAGAAATCACATAATGAATTACAGAAATAGTCCTAGCAAAACAGAATCTTCCATTTGATCTTTATTTTTCTTCCTCTCCAGTTTACTGCATTTACTCTGAAAACTTTTCTGTTTTCTTTAGCTCATTACTGTCCAATCTTAGAAATCTAAATACAGGTACATGCACTCAGAGCTGTACGTTCCCCTTTGGACCACTTCAACTGTATCCTGCAGTTTTTAAATATACTGTAACATTTACCAATATTCAGTTCTAAGTAATTTGGAAATTCCTGGTGATTTCCCTCCTCTCCAACTCATGAAGTATTTAGGAGTGTGCCACAACTATGTCTTCCTTGTTTAAAAGCAGCTGCTCAAGAGCTGTATAGTGTGGTTTAAAGAGAAATAGTTCTTTGGGACTTTTCATGGAAAAACTGTTTGCCTCGCCTCTCATGTCCCACTCCTCTGAGGCATTCACTTCCACGTCCCTTTAATGGTCTCCTTTTGTTTTTGCCACTATTTCTCTAAATAAAACATTTTCATTACTTCATCTTGATTTTTCCAGTTTAGGCATCATCCATTTACCATCCACTACCAAAAATGAAGTCAGCTTTCCTGTATCACCAACTACAGCCCACTCTCTGCCTCATCCATGCCGTTTCAGTCACTCTACCCAACTCCAACAATTACATCAGAATCTGTGGAATTTACATTAAACCAGTGACCATGCATTCTTAGGACTACATGAATCTTTTCTGTAGCCTAGCTTTACACTATACAATCACTGCTTTTCTGTTCTTGCTCTTCTGGTTCACAACAGAAATGATGAGATTTCTGTCTTGTGTAGTAAAAACATTTAAAATATAATATACAATTTCAAATGTACTCTATATTTATGCTGGTTAGTATTCTGACAGTTTAATACAAGATAGTATAATCTGGGAAGAGGAATCTCAGTTGAAAACAATGGTGCCATCAGATTGGCCTACAGGCATGTCTGTAGGACATTTGCTTGATTCATGTGAGAGGGCCCAGCATACTATGGGCATTATCACCCTGCTATAGAAATTTGCATTGATATAGATCTTGGTCTATTGATATAAACTTAGGTCAGTTTTGTTATGTGTATATTTCTGCCCTTGATTAAGGTATTGTGTTTGTGCACTCACTTAAAAATGTAATGTATAATTAAGAATATAGGTTAATAGTCATCCATGATAGTCAAGCTTGTAGTCATGTTTGTTAGGTTTTCTAGATATACAGAGATATATTTCAGTTAGATAGGTATTCTTCAAATCTTTCAGAGACCCTCAGGATATGGCATTTAAAATGTTTTAAGAATTTAGGACTTTTCATGACAATGAAACTCATTTGCTTCTGGCAGCACCAATCTACTTCAAGAGGAAGATGGGCTCCAAAGAGGCTCCTTATGGAGTTGGTTAGCATTTGGGCAAGAAACTGTTCCTGCCTAGACTGCTTGATGGTATGCTGTATAAACTGAACATGCAGGACCCTCAGAGAAATGACTGCTGAACTTGTGTAAAGGTGAGACAATCCTTTGAGGTTCCTGCTTCATGAAAGAGTCTACCAGACATTCTGCCAGGACACAGAAGAAAGTGACTGACAAACTGCCAATATAGGTGGAACTGTCTTTGAAATTTCCTGCTTCATGAAAAAGTCTGCTGGATACTATGGGCCTGTAAGGTGAAGATGGATGCTCCAATGTTACAGAAGAACTTTGGGTGACTGTCCAGGCAGTGAGATCTCTGTCAGTTCTAGAGTTTTGGAAGTTGTTTACAATGCACTCCCTGTTTATTTAGGTAATATTATATCCTTCTGGAGTCTTTGATGGAGTTGAAGGATAGTTATAATTATAATTTTCCTTAGTTATGATAAAAGATGAAGTAGATATAAATATTGTAACTGTAATTCTTGCTTGATAACTGTTTTGTTA